AATTGTCAAAGGAACTAACCAACCAGGGAAGGTAGATCAAAATGAAGAAGAAACATTTCCTTATAGGCAAGCGGTTGGAGCCCTAATGTACCTTATGGTAGGAACTAGGCCAGATATAGCGTATGCCATCGGAATTGTATCAAGATCACTAGAAAAACCAACTCACAGTGACTGGATGCAAGTGAAGAGGATTTTTAGATATCTTAAAGGTACAATGGAACTTGGAATTTCGTACACAGCTAATAGTAAGAAGAGATACCTACAAGGGTACAGTGATGCCGACTATGGAGGAGATGATCAAACAGGAAAGTCAACTACGGGTGTTGTCTGCAAGTATGCCAATGGTGCTATCTCCTGGCTAAGCCAAAAGCAGACATCTGTAGCTCTTTCTACAACAGAGGCAGAAATAGTAGCCGCCAGCGAAGGAGCCCGAGAACTAATTTGGCTAAAACGTCTTTATAACGAGATAATTGATCTGCAGTGTATTCCGGATCTACTAGTTGATAATGAAGCAGCTATTAAGTTAGCAAAAAATCCGGAATATCATAGAAGAACAAAACATATCCAAACAAGACATTTTTTTGTTCGAGAATTGGTAACCGAAGGCTCCATTAACGTAGAAAAGGTTGATTCAGAACATCAGTTAGCTGATATGCTGACAAAACCTCTTTCAAGACCCAGGCTCGAATATTTAATGAAGAACATTGGCCTAATAATAGAAGATAATAAATTATTCAATGAGGGAAGGTGTTGATGTATCTACATTTACATACCCTTATTATCTACAGACTATTACTTTGATTTGTATTTTGCTTTTGTTCTGGTAGTTAAGGTTTTTTCCAATATTGATTGATAACAATTTTTTGATTAAAGTATTACGAAAAGTCATTCAAGTTTTCTTTTTCCGAAATAGTAGATAAAATAACAGTATCCACTGGAAAACATCAATACTTACTACATACCTATGTTCTCTAAATCTAATAAGAATTTGAAAAAGGTCATTTTGAATAATAGGGCCGACTATTTGAAGATCATTAATGGCACACCCTGTAGAAGAAGGAAATGACCCATCAAAGACTACTCTCAACTTTGTACTTAAAGATTCTTCTTTTAATACCATGGTGGGGTAAAAAGAACTGAATATGTTCTGATAATGATTCGGTAACCTTAGACATATGACCTAATGATTCATATTCGATCATAAATTTGACATAAGGTTCCCTTAGAGCGCTATTACGTTGTAGTTTACGCTCTAAATTATAGAAACGTTTGAGAGCTTGCTCGCGGGAATCTCCAAGTTTTGTTAGTGAACTTTTCAAAGGAATGTTAACAATGAAACGGCCATTTAAGTCACGTTTATGAGTTGAAACGAAAATTTGTTCACAATCCCTTTCTTCTGCTGAATATGATCTATCCTCGGAACAATCCTCAATTTCCCAAAAACGGGATAGTTGATTTTGAATATCAGTATATCGCCCCCCGCCTTGAAATGACATTTCAATGTTTTTTGAAAGGTTGCAATACATATGAGATTTCTTTTCCATAGTTTTATTTGCTATAGAGTTATTGTATAGGGACCCTGAAATTATCCAACCGAATTTGGTTTTATGAAGGATAGGTAAATTGGGACCCAACTGTATTTGGCCAATGGAAAGTATAGACCAAAATAACTCGGCTCCTATAAGAAGATTGATGGGCTTTGGAGAATAAAATTCTGGATCTGCTAATTGTATATTTGAAGGGATGGATACTAAAGATGTATTTAGCTTCTGATTGGGCAAATAATCACATATGAATGGCATAATGAGACATGAAAGTGACGTTGAAAATGCGTTATGTTTGGAAAATATTTGAATTTGACATTGAGTCTTGATTTTAGATTCTACCTTTGTGATACCAGAAACCGTAATGTTGATATCTTGTGTTTTAATTCCCAAAGCAGTAGAAAAATTTGCACATATGAAATTAGATTGACTTCCTGAATCGAGAAGTGCACGACAATCATGGCGATTTCCTTTGTTGTCCATAACTTCGCAAACAATTGTGGATAATAAGACTTGCTTTGAATTTGAATTAACACTGCATAATGTTACATTATCTGTATTTTGAGTAGGACTATGCAACAAAGTATTGTGTTTAGCGGAACAAGTTTTACAACCACCGAAATTGCATTGATCAAGTTGATGACCTGAATTCAGACAGTTTATGCATAGTTTTGAAATTTTCACTAATTCTGTTCGCTCGGGTATGCTCATTTTTAAAAATTTGTTACAATTAAATAACCTATGATTATTTGAATGGCATGCCTGACAAACGCGAACTGAAGAATGGAAAGCCTTTTGAGACTTGTTTTTAGATACTGATGTTGAAAAGGAAGAATGTTTGGAAGAATGACTCTGATTTGTTTCCAACTGTTTATCTTCAATTTTTTTTAACATTTGGGATTTTTGTTTCAAAAAAAACAATAAATCTTCTAAGGTTGGTTTATCAGAAAATGATTTGTTCTCCCATTCTCTCGTTGTAGTTGGGTCTAACTTTGTAGTAATGTAATAAATTAATAATGTATCCCAATACTCAGTTGGCTCACCAAGAACCTTTAGTGAACGTAAGTGCATTTTAACATGATCAACAATATGTTTAAGTGCTTTAGAAGATTCTTTCTTGATTGAATCAATGTTATATAAAGCTTTGGCATGTTCATGCAATAATGCCCTTTTATCAGTGTATTGATCACATAATAAATCCCAAGCTATAACAAAATTATCATTTGTAAGTTGAATATTTGCGATAGTCTCAAAAGCTTCACCACTTAGTGCAGATTTTAAATAGTGAAATCTTTGAATATTTGAAATGTTTGAATTATCAATAATTAATGCCTTGAAGCTATCTTGAAATTGAAGCCAATCGCATGGTTCCCCTGAAAATGTGGGAAGATTTATCAATGGCAATTTGATACCTGAGAAATCGTTTTGAACATTATTATTGATGGTTGGTTGACTATGGTTTGAAACTGAATTATTTTCAAAACTAGACTCAGTATTCAAGATCATAAATTTTTGTGCATGTGAAAGAGTTGCATAAAAACTATTTTCGAATTCTTCCCTAGCTGAAAATTCTGTTTGAATGTTAACTGTATCGACCAAAGCATCAATTTGATTTTGTATTTCTGTAAATTCATTTATTAAATTTTCAACTCGATTGTAACGACGACGAAAAGGAAGGATGAAACTATGTTCCTCTGGAAGTACTTTTTTAAAATTTAATTTTGTTTAAACAAAAAAAAAATCTGAAAACTGGTAAAAAATTCGAAATTTTAGGATTTTTTTCTTAAGAAAGTATTCAAAAATTAGAAAATCCTCTCCCAGACGAACATAGATACAAGTATACTTGACCAAAAAATATTTTTTGTTTTCCAAAAAAGTTATTAGTAAACGAATAGGATGAATGCCAAGATCGCAAGAAACTCCACCCAAAACGAAATGTAAATCCTCCTCTTAGGGCCATTCGCACCGCTTTTACTTAGCATCTAAGTGACACTTAAGAAGGCATAACCGTTTGCACCGTTATTAAAGTTCCACTTATCAAGGCGTTAAGAATCACTTTAATAAGCCCAGAAATTTTTCAGCTTAAACCATTAATTAACCTTAAAATGTTTAATTTTTATAATTTTGAGTGATGTTGACTGTCATTGTGTCATTGATTTATAACATTTGTAAAATTGCAATACACAAAATGGAAATAATGGAAGATGATGAGGCTTTGAAAATGCTTGATTTCATTAATATGGGATACCACGAAGAATATAAAATAATACATACAAAAACGATTACTTTTAAACTGCGATTTGAATTGGCAGAAGAAAACTCTTAATTGCCTTGATGAAATTAAAGCAAATTTATAGTACCCTTATAATAAATATGTAGGTTTCAAACTCAAATATTTTTACAGACAACACAATTATAACCATTTTTATAAAAAGTGTTTTTTTGTGAATCTTTTTTGTAAAATTAGCATTAAACTCATCCCCATCTATCAACGTTAGTATGTTTTCTATATTTTTTTTTTATATTAACTAATTGAATCAATACTAATTTTACTCTCATTATGGCTGTACTTCGTGCTCTATTTTATTACTTCTTAGTTCATCTATTTTTTTTAAATAGTCCTGTGACACAGGAGAGAGTTTTTTCTCTTCTGCGCCTGATAATCATAATTTTTGCTGAGTTCAGTGAGACATAACAATCCGAACCGATACTAATCGCTTTCGTTCTACGATACGTATTGCTTTATATCGATCCGTATCATTTGGGAGCCTTTCATTTTTGCGCTAGTTTCTGCTTCTATCAAGAAAGATAAGCGGGAAACCTCTTAAAATCAACCTAAAACGCCTAAAACCAATCGCTATTTACGATTGCTAGAAGAACAACCTGGTTGGGGATTAATGTGATAAAAATAATACAAAAAATACTTAAATATTAAAATTATTGTAAATTGTTGATGAAAACTCCAAGTGGCAAATAAACAAATTCACTTTCAATTGCAAATACTACGTTTCATTAAATTAGAATTATCGTTCAACTGAAATTTAATTTTTGTAAGTTGAGCGTACCGTTCAGTAAGCTGATCCCGCTACCCCAATCGCAGCAAGAATCCGATACACTCATTGAACGCAGCTTTCATTAAACATTCAAAATAAAATTAAAATTTGACATTATTTCTTCTTTTTCTAGAAAAATCTTGACGTTGCCAAATCAATCCGACTCATAATTAATCGTTGCTTTCTAATAGGTTGGTGCGAATTAAACTACGGTAATTAATACTTAAATAATAAGTTTCACTTTACTAAGGGGAAATTTATTCTGAAGCGGTGCGAATGGCCCTTAAATGAGATATATCCTTCTGGTTATTATTTATTTTTCTGCTATGATCATCTCGAACAAGGCGTTTTATATAATTAAGATCGATTCTCACTTCAGGTACGTTCGTATAAAATTACTCACCCTGAGAGTGTCCAATATGGATAAGTTCGGTAAGCTGAGTGTGAGCCAAAATGTAGTCTATAATAGTTGGAATGTCAATTTTTCCGATTTCGTTCCAGTCAAATTGCCAGAATTCCTTAGAATCAGGAGACAATGTAGTGTGATTTCTAGAATACCTATTTCCTCTAACATTGCCCATCCACACATCGTAACCTAGATCAGCAAGTATATAGCCCAGACCTGTAATTAAGTAAAGAAATTATAGTGAATGGTTAAAGCAAACATCCAGTTTTAGATGAATGTTAATGACTGTATGATAACTATATGTTGACAGGTATATCGATGAAGGTAAGTCAACGATTTATGTCGATGACATTTAATAGATGAATCTGTGTTGATAACAGTATGGACAAAAACTAATTTATGAAATTTACAAGAGAGAAGAAAGAAAAGAGAAAAAATAAAAAAGAATATTAAAAAAAAGGTAATAAGACAAATGTCGACTTCGTAAAGAAAAGGAAACTAAAATTGTTAAAATAAATAAAAATTATACAAGTTAAAAGAGATAAAACTAGAAAGTGAATATGAAGAACTTATTGAAGAAAAGCATATTAAAAATTAAAAATAGGTATTATTAATAAATAAAATAATAGTAAAATACATATTGAAGAAGACCGAGCAATAAAGTAAATAAGGAAACAAACCAAAAAGAAAAATAGAAGGCGAGGTAAGTTAAAGTAAAAAACCGAAAAGTCAGAAATAAATATCAAAAATACCCCTTCGAGTTATTAAGACCATCCCCAAACCCAAAGCTGAAAACAGAAACACGGCATAAGAAACAATCGGCAGGCTAACTTGTCTTGGCGGCAACGTTACGCGCACACCGCCATTTTGGGGTCCAACCTCTCAATTAAGCCAGTGGCGTCACTGTCGTCGTTTATATCGACAAAAACCAACAAGTTACAGCAGCTCGGAATCAGTAGCGTGTGTCTTAAATTTATTTTGTTTGTGGTGTGTGTATTATGTAGTTATTGTTATTTTTTTAGAATTATAGATATTTTTTGACACTTTTTATATAGTAGTTGTTATCCAGTGTTAATTTGTTAACTTTTACGTGTTTTACTATATCTGAGCAAAGTTGTGCAGCAAAAACTATATGAATAAACTGTATTAAATGATTTTTTCGGTTTCTTAAAGATGCTATTAGGTAGGTATGGTATACTTTTAAAAAAAATCCTAGATTATGGGTCAGTTTGTCAATTATAAACCTATTAGTAAGATGTAGGTAGGTGCGTAATTAACGTCACGTAAGGATTAGCGTCAATTTATATTTACTTATGTAGGTAGGGGAAGTGTGCCTTTGATGGACCCCTTAAGAAAATTCCTTTATATCTTTTTTAGTTTTATACTTATTAAATTTATTTTTATGAAATTCTATACCTAATTTGAAGGTGATTATACTATAAGGTGAATTTGTTACCAGTTAATTGCTTCTTTAATAACACAAGCAATTTTTTCTTTATAAGCAAGGGTGCTATCATTGGCACATATTTGCCCATGTTGGCCCCCTTATAAAATAAACAAATAAAAGTGTCTTGAAAGCTTCATTAAACAAAATTATCGGTGTACCAACAAACTTGGAATGAAGATAAAAAACTATAAAAAAACTAACATTTACGTGAACGAACTACAAAACATTTTATTTGCTATTACAAACCAGAAGAAGCTAAAATTAAGTATATAATACACAAATAAATGTTTTGTTTGGCGTTTTGTTGCCCTGGCCTCTTGTTTTCTTATTTTCGCTTCCTTCTCATTCACTTTCTCTTTAAGTTCATACATTTCTGGTGTTGAATTCAAATGACCAGTTTTTCACGTTTTCTGTCTATTCTTCCACCAGTACCAATGGCTACAGCTTGGGGAGGAGGTAAAATTTCTTTCACAGAGATGTCGAGAACTGACCATAAAGACATGTTATGAACAGATGTACTTGGTTAGTCTTGAAATTCCATTTGGTTTTCGTTGATATCACCTTGATTCTCGGGAATCTGCTTATCAGTTGCTAAAGCTGCTGCAAACTGCCAGTCATTAAAAATGTGAGGATTGAAAGGATATTTGCCGGTATTTTTGAAGGAGTTTATTGCGTTTGATGGCACTGCACTTTCCAAATAGGCTTGATTGAGAAGACCTGCTATTTTGAATTGAGTCACCGCTTTTCCCGGGTTTTGACGCAGCCATAATTGAATTTCTTGATCGAAATACGTATGAAGAGGACGAAAGAATCCGACGTCCAATGGCTGAACGTGATGAGAGCAGTGTACACGAAAACAAAATTACACCATTTTCTTTTGCGAACTGCAGAGCTTCAAGACTCTTATGACTATTGTGACCATTCAGTAGTAAAAGAACCTTATTCTCATTAGATGCTTTAGCGTACCTTATGAAATACTTTAGCCATTTACAAAAAATTTCGCTGGTAATCCATCCTTTTTCTTATGCGAATGCTATGCTACCAACGGGAGCACCGTTCATAAGTTCATCGTTCATTCTTTGACAGGGGTAAATAAGAACAGGAGGGACGTAAGTGCCTATGGAATTCATTGCACATACTACGGTTATGTGTTACCCACGCTCGGCACTACTAAGTGCACCAACTTGCTTGCGACCTTTTGCAGCGTAAATCTTTTGGCACTTCTTCTGGACCGTAGTCAAACCTGACTCGTCCATATTATAAATATTTTCGGGGAGAAACTTGTACTGATCCAGAGTATTAGACAGTTCGTTAAAATAGGCTTCGATATTAGGCTTGTTAAATGCCTGGCCTCTAGCTAATGATGTACTTTCTGGGCTTGTCAAAGATATTCGCGGATTGCGCATTAGGAATCCCCTAATCCATTTCCAACCTGCCATTTTTGTTTCGCGGTTAAAACCATGTTTTATTTTATTTTTTCGGCTACTTCAAATACCATCCGCCGCAAATCTTTAGAAGTTAGTCCAAAAAAACGTGTTTCCATGTCAATTATATAAGTTATTCTGTTCGACAGCTTTAGAGAAAGTTGCTCTTCGTCCACCCAAATCACCCTTAGAACTGTCCTGTTTAGCCAAACGCCTTCTTACAGTTGTTTTGGGAACATTAAAGGCCTTTGCAGCCAATTTATAGGCCATATTGTCGTTTTGAACGTTGAAAATAGCCTGGTCCATCATAAGATACAGTTGAGGGGTCCATCATAGCCAATATTGCATAAGTCATTAAAAAATGCCAAGCACTTTTGATCTTTTTTTGGAGTGAGGGTAGCCATATGTGAGTAGTAGGGATTAAGTGTAAGGGGTTAAAGAAAAGGTCCTTTATTTCTCACAAGTCAGTGATCTTTGCCATAACCTCAATTTGTGCCCTAAAATTAACATAAAACAGTTCTTTCAAACTGCAGTAAAAAAAAACTGATTCTAACTAAACGTAAAAAAAGAGTTACCTAACATCATGCCAAGCCGCTTGTTATATCAGTACTTACCAGTTTTGTCTTTATTTTTTATTTTCACACAAACGGCATATATTCGCATAGTCGCCTGTAAATAACTGATTTTATACTTCAGTCATCCTAACCAATATGGCTATAGTCTGTTATGCGCGGTAAATTTGAAAATACAGCTTGTGGTCCGTCATAGGCGGGGGTCCATCATGGGAATATTTCCCCTATATTATTAAGATTTAAAGTAAAATATTATATTTTAAACATCTCCCATATGGAGTTGACAAAATGGAAAAATCTTTATTTTTATTTTAAGGAAAAAGTCATTATAAAAAAATTATGTTTGACGAAAAAATAGGTTTACTATATTAATATCTTAGGTCAGGTGTACAGGGTCTTAATAAATGAAGAAACTTGAAATTGACAAAAGGAAAAAATCTGTATTTCCTATTGATTTTACGAAGAAAAGTAACAGTTTTCCTGTCGGTTTTCCTTCATATCTTTAAAAGAAAACTTTTTATTGTAATTTTTTTCAACAAGCAAAATTTTTTGTAAGGAATGACTTTTTTTTGAAAAAAATGAATATTAATCGTAATTGTGTTATTCGCATATATTGAAATGCTTAACAAAAATTTAATTCTGATATTCATTTTGATAATAATTATTCTAGATATGCGAATAACAAAGCTTTATAATCTATAAGTATTTTCATTACAAAAAGCAATAAAATCTTAATTAGCCATTAAAGAAATTATAAGTAGTGAATTAAAAATTAGTAATGAGTCACGTACAATCAAAATCATGTATCTTAAGCAGTTTTTCGATATCAACGATTGTTTTTTTGTTTTGTTTTTCGTTTCAGGTTTTATGGCTGGAACTCTTATTTTATTTCGCTCGATTATAAAACAATTTTGTTTGTTTTATGCACACACCTAGAGAAATATACCGCTAAAGAACGACTGCGCATCTGATCTGAGTGTCTAGTGAAACGAGATATTGACGGTGATATTTTTTTTTCGGTATTTTAGCTATTTTTGTTCGGTGGGAATACCTACTTTGTTCAAAAAAGATTTGCCGAATCATTAATCACCCTGTAAGGTACAATATTTTAATTATAGTAGTTAAGTATGTATTTTTACTACACAGAATAAGCAAAAAACTTCCAAAAATATTTAAGGGTGATTTATGGTGTCCATTTTAAAGAACTAGGGATTTCTTCAACACTCTGTATCTCAAAATCTAGTAATAGGATACTATTGGGCCCATGGACATTTTTGAAAGAAACATCAAGTTATTTAACACATCAAACATTCAGACATTTTGACGGTACTCCCGTTTGCATAAGAAAAGTGCTAGTTCTTTTATAGTAATATTTTTGTGCATATTCTATTGTATACATTTACGTAGGAAACAAAATGCTAGTTTTATTTTAAATAAAACATCCTCTAAACAACTACATGGTTATCTTTGTTTCCACTAAGAAGGATGCTCGCATAATTAGGATCGAACTGCCTTCACGTAAGTCGTTTGATCCAATAATTTTTGGCAAATATGGACTTTCAACATATGTATTGCACTTACTGTTGGAGTCCATAGAATTATAAAAGAATATTACACAATTCATTAAATTCTGTGGTCAATTGTGGCTTAAGTTTAGATCTGGATGTTTATCTGGTTTTGTTGAACATTTTATATTTCGTGACATTAAAGCTAAATCTATTACTATTATTATTATTATTATGGTAGGATATTTTTTCTTATTAGATGTAATCTGGAATATATTTTGTATAATTTAAAATTACCATTTTTGGGTCGATTTATAATCCAATCAGAAGAAGCAGCAAGGAGTCCATGTTGTAAGTAAACAACTTTTCCATTTGTTTGGCCCAATTTTCCGTGGGGTATCCTGTGTATATTTAAAATATATCCATCCCAGGTGGTTACATAGTGACTCTCTGAAGGGTATCCTTCGTTGCGAATGAGTTCAGGTACTGGTTTCCATGGAACAGCTGTAAATTAAAAAAGTATAAAAATTAATTAATTAGAAATATACGAATTTAAATTAGCATTTTTCAAACTGTGAAAAAATTCATTCGCAGAAAGAAAAGCAAAATGGTAGACATTACAAAAAATTAATTACGCCCTACTTAGCAATATTTTTTAATTTTACCCCATGTATTACCTTTTCCCCTTCAGATTTATAGGGGATGGAAGGGTTATTTCTTTTTACTAGTTCAGTTTTATAAAATTCCGGAGAGTAGGGTCGGGTTCTTAGACACAACGCAAATTTTTATAAATTCAATTTAATTTTTGACAGCGTCTGACATTTATTTCAGAGGTTAGATGTACCGAAGAGTAACAAAAAAAATATATATATATAATATGAATATAAAAAAAAAGATACCACGCCGTGATTCAGTAGGTAAAATAATAATTATATATATCATGCAATTGTATCTACAAATTATTGTTACAAACCGAGGTACACGTCCGCAAATAGGCCTAAATGTTACAAACGGTAATCCAGAATTGTAAGTAAGCTTTATAAAATGGCTTTACCTCTATATATAACCCTAATATTATCAATTTCTAAGGTAAATTACGTGAATTATCTCGATTATCTCAAAACCTTTGTAGGTAGAATCGCAATTAGTGGACCCCGGTTGAGGTCATGTGGTACCCACGATAAATGGGGCCCTTGGCTATAAGGAATAGTCTTACTTTATATTTCTGTTGTCCCGTCGTCCTCAATATTGCGTCGTACCTCTGGCCTGTCTGTACAAGGAGGGCTAGATCCAGCCGATTTGCTGTAGGGGTTGGTTCTGGGGTACCTGGCTTCCTAAACTAGTTAAACATGCACCCAATCCTTGTAGAATGTTAGCTGGGGCAGTGTTCAAAAGCTGTAGCAGTTTAGTGATAGTATCACGAAGAAAGTTTGGAAGGAAGTGTATTAGTCCGAAAGAAAGTCGATAGATCCCACAGAAAGAAATACCCAGATAGATAGAAGTAGAATAAGTATTAAAGTAGAAACTGAAGTTAAAGTTAAAGTTGAAGGTGAAATTGAAGGTCTGTAAGAAGGATTAGTATAAGCCACACATATAAACAGCCTTAAGCGATAGGTAAGCCATGTAAGAGAATAATTATATTTAATATTAGACACTCACCTTTAGGTGTAGGGCGACCTTTTTATAGGAATCACAGTCAAAGATTATATAAAATCCACCGAATGGTGTAGAAATCACAAAGATTTATCAACTAATTCTTTAGACTGGTTTCACAGTTTTTATTCTTTTAGCTCAAGTCAAATCCTAGATACACTAGAGAAAATACCACATGCTACCACAAAGTTGAGCAGATAGAAACTGCCAAAAGGAAGTTCCCAAAATGGTGGGAAGTCAATGGAAGGTCTTGACTATTAAAGCTAGCAGGACAAAGTCTGGTAAGAGTGTGGCCCCTCAGTAAAAGAAGAATGTGACACTTCATAAAAGTGAATGTAAACAAAAACAAACAATAATTAACCTATATTTAAAACCATCAGATATGTAAAAGAGTTATGTGTACTATTTCTTATAGCAACAGGCATTTCTTTGGGTTCTAAAGTATTCATTAAAAGTAATCATTGTAACAAAATAATAGGAAAGGTTAGAATAGGGTTACAAAATTAGAAGTCTTACGATTCATACAACGGTTTCTGTAAGTAAAACAAATCCAAAATAGAATAGGCCTAGATTATAAAGTAGATTGATGTAGAATAGGTTAGATTAGAATAAAATAGAATAACTTAGATTAGAATAGGGTAGAATAGATTTGGGATTAGATTAGAATAACTTAGATTAGGGTAGAATAGATTAGGATTAGATTAGAATAACTTAGAATAGATTTAGGATTATATTAGAAGTTAAATTAAATCATAAATAAAAATAAAGTTGTGTATTGTTTACTAGCTCTGCCATTTTAACTTGGCTACGATATTTTGACCCGTAACACATTGCCCAATTTCTATGATTCTATTTTTGTTAGAAAAGAAATAGTTCCATATACATTTATTCAAGATCTGAAAACGGGATTCATGAGAAAATCATTAACGTTTAAGATTGTAGCTGTTTAAAACATTTTCGTCTGGCATTTGAAACCTCAATAAGCTTTTTCGTCCAGAAAATTATATCAAGGATTTGATCCTTGTTCTTTTTTATTTTCCATCCAGATTGCCTTGATGAAGCTTTGTCAAAAATAATTCTACTTACTCAAATCATATTTTAGCTGAAAATCATTCTTTTACAGACAACTTTGAAATTTTACATATAGAAAATAAGGCAATAAACTAAACCATTTAGAAACACTTCTTGAAATAAATAGATTTAAAAATTCAGATAACCTACTCAATGATCAATTAGATATTAATAACTCACCCTTAATTAATCTTTTTCCTAGTTTTCTGTGAGATAATCCCGGTAATGTTATTGTTATTTGATTGATATCATAATTACCTAAATACCCTTATTTACTTTAAATAGTTAGTTTATTTTGATATGTTATTGATGTTTTCTTAAGTACTTTGTTTTGTTAAATTATTTCGCATATATATAGGATACCGAATTGTAAATTAGTCACATTTGAAAAAGAAGTTGTACTTCGAAACATGTCAAGTGTAGTGTTTTTAACTTTTATTTTTTATTTTTTAAAATAAAAGTTTTGTGAAAATCTACCAAATTTGGTTTTACTCATTCAAGATAAAATGGATTTTCATCAAGTAAAGGCCGAAACAATAAATAATTTTTTTATGGGGACATGAAAGTATGCCTGAGAAAGATCTAGTTTTACCAGGAAGTCGCCTTCTTAGAGACGAGTTTCCCCTCTACTTTATCTGGGGAAGGTTGCGTTGTTTTGAGTCGAAACTAGTTCGAAGTAGTGCCGCCAGGGTTTTTAACCTCACTTAATTGTTTATTTTTAGATTAATACACGGGTCAAGCCAGGCATAGTAAAAGCAGCTCACAGAGAGCAGTTCGCCCACATGGAAGGGCCCGAAGGGGCATCAAACCACCCCACAGAATCCAGGGAGTACAGAGATGTACCACAAACAGAACACGAAACATTATTTACTAAAAGAGCCAGAGACAAGATAAATAAAGAGAGGAAAAACTTGACTCTCGACACCAATGCTCGTAGGCCCTCAGGATCCTCAATCAGCCCCAAAAGCCCTATTACCCTCAAACTTAAAAGGAGTATACACCACCCATACAAACATGTGAGTACGCCAAAGCCTAAAGAACATTATAAATCGTCAAACAAAGACAGACACGATGCTCGAGAGAGGTCTCAAAAATCCCATGAAAAAACACATAAAACGACGAAAAGTCATAGTTCCAGTAGAGATAGAGGGGATGTGGAACGCAATAGGGCCATTGCACCCTCCCTCAACAGCTGACAACAAAATAACCCCCAAAAACACCTTAGAACTACTAAAGAAATGGTTCTTAATATTTATAAGCATTAAATTTTATAGAACCCTGATATGTTGGTACGTGATGTTGAAAGGAGAGTTGCTGATAAAACAGGGATGTGCGCTAAAACCGTTTTTAATGTTATGAAGGAGTATAGGCAGATTCATAAATTTTCTGAACCAAAAAGAAAGCTACGTTATAAACAAATTAGTGGTTCTGTGGATGATTTTGATAAAAATGCAATAAGGCGCAAAGTACATCAATTTTTCTTTAGAAATTAACTTCCAACAATTGATAAGGTTTTATAAGAAGTCAACGATGATCCATATTTGTCAACTTTTAAGCGAGCTACACTTTACAAGCTTTTTAAAACCCTTAATTTTAAATTTAAAACTCGAGGAAAAAATAGATTGCTTTTAGACAAAAATGAAATTGTTTCGTCCTACGCCACAAAAAATAAAACGGTACAGAGAACAAAAGCAAAAAATATATTATCTTGATGAGACTTGGATTAACGCAGGCCACACTAAATCAAAAGTATTTTTCGATATGTCGGTTTTTTTATCCTTTTTGGATGAACTTTTAACTGGTTTTAAAAACCCATCAGGTATGTGCGTAAAAACAGCTCATTATATGTCATATTGAAAGTGAAGAAGGCTTTGTCTATAATGCACTTTATGTATTTGAATTGAAAAATCCGGTGACTACCATGAAGAAATGTGTGGAGAATCGTTCAAAGAGTAGTTTTCAAACCCCTACCAAAATTCAAGAAAGTTGAAAAAAATATCTACGACGTCTAAAAAAAGGTGATATTTAAAAATGGATATAAGGGAAAAAAATTGAATTCGACTACCAACTTCTAAAACTTGGTAAGCAACATAAGTATTATGATAAGTATTATTATATATGAATAAATATATTAATATTGCTTGTAAAAGAACTTTATTTTCTCTGACATTTTTTACGTCGTCATTGACAAGTATATATGAATCAATGTTTCTTTTTATAATACAGGGTGATTTATGGGTGATTTATTTTTAATACATAATAGATTCTCGGCCTCTTAACATCAAACATAAAAATAACTAAAAACTTGCAACAAAACGCTGAACTGGTTTCTTAATTCTAGAAGAACGTCTAGGAACAAAACTTTTCACTTCATTTCGAATGATTGATTCTTCATTACGATTGGTAGGTTCTAAATTTTCTATTGATTTTGTTTGGTGTTCTGGAATATTATTTTCTTGTAAATTTTGTTCAATATCATGTTCTTGGTTTCCAATAGTTGTGGGTTGATCTGATGTTTTATTTTTCCCATTCGTTTGCTGAGGTAGTGTTTGAGTAGACTTCCCACAAAATAGCTTCTTTTGTAGAACTACAGGAGTTATTTGCATCTCAGATGGACATTTTAATGATTTCAACGTATTTGTTACATTTCGATTTTGGTCTGCTACTTGAGGTTTCTCAACTTGACATGGTCTCAATTGATTGTAGTGTCTTTTTATATTTAACCCATCGTCCAATTCAATAAGATAATGCAATTTCCCCAATCTCTGAGCTACTACACC